ACTGAGTCTTAGGAAGCTGAAGTTCTTGCCCAAGGTCATAAAGCTGATGTTGAGAGAAGGACCAAAACAATGTTCTTTATTATTTTCTTCCAAGCTGCAGACATGATTTTTGTGCAGTTCCTGTTGTGTGATAAGAGTAAAGACATAATTTTGTATTTTTTAAAATTTCACATTAAAGCGTAAGTAATGGAGATACGAAGGCTATATAATATTCCACAGAATAATACAGCATCTTCGTGCCCATTATTTCCTTTCCTTCTCTTGGATTATTCCCTCAGGACAAATTCCCAGACGTGAAATTGGTATGTCAAAGGGTGTTAACGTTATTTTGATTCTGGATTCAGAACATCCTATTCCTTTCCTAAGGAGCTTGTCAATAGTAATTACGTTTGTGTGCTGTAATTTATTTTCTAGTCTCCTAGAAATAATTGAAACGTTGATAAAGAATGAATAAGCCTGATATAGATAAGTAACCTCCAGGCTGAAAAGGAGTGAATAGGTTGGGACGATGATGATCATGTTTGGAAACATGTGGCGCAGTAACCCCAGTTACTAGATCTAGCTGTATGGTTGTTGTCTACTAGATAGGATGCTCGTTTCACATGGTTAAGGAGTGCGTATATTATCCGTAAAGGACCAGCTCAGTCTCTGGGCGTATGAGGGGCCAAGTGTCACCGGGAGGGTGTGACTTGTTTACTGGGTCCTGCTGACCTACCTCCAGAAGAGGCCTCTTGTTCTTAAAGGGACCTGGATCTGAGGTGCAGGTGCCTGAGGGGGGTCGCTCTTCAAATCCTCACTCAGAGTGTGGAGTCAGGAGCACGGGGCTCATGTCCCTCCTCCCTTGTTATTAGTCTTGGGATCTACAGAAAGCTCTGAGAGTTTCTGTTCCTTCGTGTGTACAAGGTAGTAATAAGGTGAAATATTTCACAAGCTTTCTAAGGGCTTTACATGTATTAAAGCATACAATTCTCAAATAACCCCATGAAGGAGATGTTATCATTGTTCTTATTATGCAGATGAGGAAACTGAGGTACAGACTGCTTAAATAACGTGCTCAGGTAACAGAGTCAGGAAGTGGAGGAGCCAGGGTTTGACCCCGGTGCTCAGGCTCCAGAGCTTCACTCCTCAACGTCACGCACCACGTTGAGTGACATGGCAGGTTGACGATCCTTAGCTTTAAGGGCTACCGGGGAGATTGGGGATGACGGCACATCTGGCTCTGGTCTCACTATTCTACAGAAATGGTCACTCTTGCTAAATTTGCCCATGACCTCCATATTTCCAAACCTGATAAACGCTTTTCTGTTTTCATCTGCCCTCACCTCTCAATAGCGTTAAACCCAGTTGACCACTTCCTCATTCCTCACTCCTTTTTTTTTTTAACCCACAGGCCCCGAGGTTGGTTTTTACTTTTTTTGTTTAAACAAATGTGCACCACAATGGTTCAACAAGTAAGGCAAATGCTGTACTATGAAAGCTGCAGTTTGCAGTATACCACATCTAGAAACCCAGGGGAGGTGAATTACACCGAAGTGGTAGTCATTCTGATTAAACAATCAGGTCACATCCTGACATGTTGGTTTGCAGCATCAAAACTGTCCATTGAAGTTTCCTTTTTCTTAGTATCAGAAGTCCCATGTTGTTTCGTCTCTTCATTGTGTTTTGTGTGAGATCCATCACAGAATGGGAACTTTTTGACCTCCAACAACAGCAGTACGTGACTTTATCTTCTGAATCCTCTGTATCAAAAGAGGGTACAATTTTGGGATTATGTACTCTCTCTGGATGTGAAGGTTTACCATAGATTTGCTGTGATGATCCTTTTTTTTTTTAAAGATTGGCACCTGAGCTAACAACTGTTGCCAATCTTCTTTTTTTATTTTTTATTTTTATTCTTCTCTCCAAAGCCCTCCAGTACATAGTTGTAGATTCTAGCTGTGAGTGCCTCTAGTTGTGGCATGTGGGACGCCGCCTCAGCATGGCTTAGATGAGCGGTGCCATGTCTGCACCCAGGATTCGAACCAGCGAAACCTGGAGCCACGGAAGCAGAGCACAAGAACTTAACCACTCGGCCGCAGGGCCAGCCCCTGCTGCAATGGTCTTTAACATAAAGTCTTTTGTAAGCTTGATAACCAATTGCAGCTGTCCCAGCAGTAATGGAAACTGCTGCAATCCATTCAGCTCAGATGCCGGCAGTCAGATTCATGGTGCCATGCCTTGCAAGATGTGTGCGATGGACACTGAGCACAAACGGCTCGCGTGGCTAGACAGAGTCAACATGCGAGAGACATCCTAAGGGCATCAACTCCAGGCTGCTCCCTCGTTCTTGAAACACTTTCTTCTCCTGGCTTTAGTGACAGCACGCTTGCAAGGGTTTGCTCCTACTCCATGGGCTCTTGCTTCTCAGTCTCTTTTTCTCTCTTTTCCTTTTTTAACTGGCCTCTAAATGATGGTGTACCCTGGACTGGTCTCTCCTTGGCCCTCCTCTCTTTTCTTTCTTTAGGAGATCTCACACAGTCCCATGGCATAAGGTATCATCTATATTATATTTGTTGATGACCCCAGTATCAGCCAGGGTTCAACCTGAGAACCAGAACCAGTAGGAATATATCTTAAGAGATTTTTTGCAAGGAATTTCTTACGTGATTTTATGGGTTTGCTAGGCAGGCCCCAGATCCGTAGGCCACGCTGTCAGGAAGAGCAGGCTGGAGCTCTTGGGCATGGAGTGAAGCTGCTGTCCACAGGCAGACTGTCTTCCTCCTTTTGGGAAGCTCCAGCTCTGCGCTTAATGACTTTCAGTTAATTGAATCAGGCCCATCTGGATTATCTAGGATAATCTCCTGCACTCACATTCCACTGATCATGAACTTGAGTCACGTCTACAACATAGCTTCACAGCAACACCCGATTAGTATTTGATTGAATAAATGAAGACTCTAGCCTAGGCAAGATGACCCATAAACTGACCATCACGACTCCCTAATTGACGTCTCCAACCCAACCTCCTTGCTGAGCCTCAGATCTGAATATCCAACCGCCTACTCAACCTGACCACTTCGTGTCTCAAACTTGACTTTCTCCCAACCAGACCTTCAGTTCTCTCCTGAGCCATCCCCACCTGCTTCTCCCTTCTCTCCCCATCCCTGTCAATGGCGCCACCACTGGCTCAGCCAAAAACCTCAGAGTCAGCTTTGCTTCTGTCTCACCTCTACGTTGACAAACAAGTCCTATCTTTGCTTCTCGAATAGATTTCACTCATGTCCACTTCTCGCCATTTCCACCACCCCCGCCCTGGCCCAGATTCCTCCCTGGACCCTCTCCAAAGCCACTTAACCTGTCTCTCTGCTTACCTTCTTGCCTCACTCTCATCCTTACTCTACCCTTTCACCAAAGTGATCCTTTTAAAGCACAAACCAGATTTACTTGAGTCTCATATTTGAAACTCATCAGTGATTTCCCATTGTTCTTAGACTAAAATGTAAACTTCTTTCCTTGGTGGAGTATATTGTGAAATTGGTCATAAATACCTCCCATCTCTGTGGGCATGCCCCTTTGCTATGTGAGTTTGTCACTCCTCCCATACAGAGGAGAAGTCCATGCTCCTACCCTTTGAATCTAGGCTGGCTTTGTGACTTGTGTTGACCACTAGAATGAGGTACAAGTGACATTATTTGACTTTTAATCCTAAGCCTCAAAAGGCCTTGTGGCTTCTACTTTTGTCCTCTTGGAGCGCTCCCCCGAGACCAACATGTGGAGAAGCCTGGTCTAGCCTACTGGAGGGCGACAGATCATGTTGACAGAGATGAGCTCTTCCATCTCAGGCCCCCTAGACTGACCAGCCAATAGCCGGCTCTGACCACCAGATGTGTGGGAAGCCATCAAAGATCATCCAGTACCACTCGAGCCACCAAATGGTAGCAGCCACATAAGTGAGACCGGGTGAGACAAGTGGTTCTTCTGCTGGTTCAAGCCCAAATGGATGCCTTCCAGAATTGTGAGCAAAATAAAATGGCTGTTGTTTTACCGTATTCAGTTTTGGGTTGGTTTGTTACACAGCTGGAGATAACTGTTACACTTCATCTCCAAGGCTCCACATGCCTGCGGCCAGCTTCTCTAAACTTACCTCATGCTGCACCCTCCCTTGAACATTAACATATTCCAGCTATGCTGGCCTCGTCCTGTTTCTGGAATTTTCTAAGCTGTTTCCTTCCTCCAGGCCTTTGCTTCCTTTGGCAAATGTGTGCCAGGTTCATTTCCACTTTTCAATGTGTACTATCAGTTTAATTTCAAACACATGGAGCAGTCTCCCCACGACCACCCCTCTACTGAAAGTTGCCTCCACCAGCTACTCTCATTGTTATGATTCCCTTCCTCTCCGCAGTGTGTAATTATCTTGTTCCCTCGTTTGTTTACTTGTTTTCCTAGAACGTAAGCACCACAGTTCTTCACAACACAGCGCTACAGGCCGCCACTGTCAGTGGATGAGAGTTGGTGCAAAAGATACACCGTTCACCTTTGTAGGTGGAGAGCCTGGCTCCTCAGTGAGGAAGGCAGGGCAGCCGGGACCCTGGGGGAGGCTGAGGGGCGCATGAGGGCATCGGGCAGGGAGAAGGTCTTCAGTGACTCAGAAGCTACAAAGATGTCCTTTCTTCAAGTCACACTTTGAGAGGTTTCAGCCCTCCCAGGCTCCTGGCCTGGAGCACCTACCAACCTGACTTTCATTCTTCTCAATCCTACCTGAATTCTGGGAGTTGCTGTGTGTAAATTATCTCAGTCTCAGGATGGCTCCCGAGACTTGGGGCTTTTAAAGAACCACAGGGGCTGGCCCCGTGGTGCAGTGGTTAAGTTTGCACGTTCCGCTTCTCAGTGCCCGGGGGTTCGCCAGTTCGGATCCTGGGTGTGGACATGACACCACTTGGCAGGCCATGGGGTGTTAGGCGTCCCACATATAAAATAGAGGAAGATGGGCACAGATGTTAGCTCAGGGCCAGTCTGGCAGTAGTTAGCTCAGGGCTAATCTTCCTCCAAAAAAAAAAAAGAACTACCAACAATGGTTAATGTTTTCATTCACAAACAGAAAATGGAATCTAATTAAACAGATTTTCTTCCTCCTGAACTGTTCATACCAAATCTTCAGAGATTCAGGCTCATTGCTAAAAAAAAAAAAAAAAAAATGTTTACTCCTCAAAGTTGGGAGCAGGAGATGTAAGAAGAGAAATTGTGAGGAAGTTCAAGAAATACTATTTTATTATCATTTGCATAGGTTAAAAAAAACCCCTTAAATTCTAAGAACAAAATGCCATGTATTAATCCGAAAACAGGCCTCCTCCTGGAAGCAGCTGCGAAAAAGGCTGAAATGAAAGGGGTGAAGAACCTCACGCCTTGTGAATCTCAGTACTGCGCAGCACAACAAATGCATAAAATTGCTGTATGGCAACATGACATGATAGCTTATTTATTTAATTGAGTTGAGAGAATCATCATTTTCTTTAAGCCACTGAGCAAAATAGAATGTATTCCAGCGCTCAAGAATAATATTGGGAGAAGCCACAGGGCAGAACATAGTGCTGGATGAGAATGGGGTCCTCTGACTCCCGGGGCAAGGGGTGCGCTGGGGAGTTTCTAACTATTCCTTGTTTTCCACCGCTCAGATCCATTCTCCTCCCCGCTCTGGGTCCAGCAGTCAGACCTCTCCAGCCTCTACCCTCCAGCTCCTCACTCTCTGGAGTCAGGTTGGGTTTGGCCGATGGAAGACACTGGCAGGGCCTTGGAAGGTGGGAGGAGAGATGTCAGGGTATTTATGCCTCCCTCTCTTCCCCCCGCTGTGATTCTGTTCCTCCGTGGCCGTGGTTCTCAGAGTGGTCAACACACCAGCAGCATCTGCATCACCTAAGAGCTTGTTAGAAATGCAAGTTCTTGGCCCTTCCCTGAACCTTCTGAAGGGTCCAGCAACCAATAGTCTAACAAGCCGTCCAGGGATTTCGATGCTCTCAGACTCTGAGAACCGCTGACATCTGGCCCCAGTTCCTGGTGGGCACACCTTCCTCTGCACTCCCAGCTTTGATGGGACTCCCGTGTTTCTGTCCCCTTCTTTTGTCCCTTCTGGTCTGGATTCTCAGCACAGCTAGTGTTTCGGTAGCTCACAGACCCTTGTCAGCTGCCTTGTCCCTGCCTCCTAGCGCTTCGTAGAGTCTCTTCATTTGTATCGTTCGGGTTCGCTGCCTGTCTGCTGCTGGGAGCGTGATTGACAGAGAGAGGCGCCAACTGTGGACGAAGGCTGGAAGCCAAAGTGTGCAGGGATAAGAACAGCGTGGTCAGATCACGACAGAGACCGCATGGGGAGAGAACCTCTGCTGCGTGCCAGGCGTCCACGCAAAATGTAAGTCTCACCAGCCTGCTAGAGGTGTATTTTCTGGTCTCACTGACGGTCAGCTGAGCCAGACCCCAGACTGTGCCTCCATGATACACCAGGCTGGTTCCTCTTCCTGGTCAAGGAGTATCCTTGAAAACTGTGACCCCCAAAGCCTCACACAGGCCACACCTTCAGCCCTCAAGGCACCGCTAAGTTGTTAGCAGCCCGCAGCAAGGGCATGGGGATGGGGGAAGACTGGTAGGCCACTGATGAGCTGTGTGATGTTGGTCAGTTGTGCGGCCTCTCTGAGCCTCAGGTTCCTCATTCTGTGAGCAGGGGTATTAATGCCTCTGTGTGGTGTGTTGGGAGGGTTGCATGAGGCAACGTCTGTGGAGCACCTAGAACTACGTCTGGCCCAGGGTGGGAGGTCCCCTGCCTTCCCCACAGAGGGGCCCTAGGGCCGGGATGTGATAGGCCAATGAATCAGCTCACCCCCTAAATAGATGTTGGTCTGGGAGCATCAGATCCCTAGGGAAAATGGGCTCCCAAGAGCTGGAATCCTCAGGAGAGTCCAAGAGGACTTTCGTAAGCCCCGTAAGAACTTAGTTCTTGAGGTTTGGGAAGGGAGAGGCTGGGCTGGCTGCTGTATACACAGCTTGTTTGTCTTTTAAAGTAAATCATCCTCCAGAACTTGCCCCCATCTGTGTCCAGAGCCCTGATGTGCTGGCGAGCAGAGGAAGGCAGTGCCGGAGGCGTGCTGGAGGAGGCGTGGGTTACCGGAGCTCTCCCAGTGTGACCTGGCAAGTTCGGCTCCCTCTGCTTGGAGCAGTCTCTGTCCTCAGCTGGCTAACCCCTACTCACTCCACTCAGACACCATCCACGGACCTGGTCCCTGGCCCCAGCTACCCCGGGCACAGTTAGTTGTCCCTCTTCCGTGTCCCCCAGTTCCATGCGTTCCTCCATTGCCATGGTTGCCACAGGTGTGGGGGTCCGTTTCCTCCCCAAGGGCAGGCATTTGTCTTGCTCATCTTTGCACCTCGGGCCTAGCCCAGGGCCTGGCGCACGGCAGAGGCTCAGTACTCCCAGATGGCTAGCGCTGCATTTGGGAGCAGCTCTGCGAGAGGACTTGCCTCGGGCCTGCTCTGTCCCCCATTCTTCCCTGGCTAAAACACATACACATTTATATCTTCCACAGACATTGACAGGCTGCCTGCTGGGCTCCATGCTGGATGCTGGAGATGCAGGAGTGATCAGAAGAAGCTCTCCTGGAGCCCGCAGGCTGTTAGACAGGACGGCCGTGTGCCCGACAATGCTAACGCAGAGCAGAGGCCCTCAGTGGCCAGGGAGGAGTGTGCTGTGGGATGAGAGGAAGAAGGAGTGGCTCCTAGTTGGGATCAGGGAGGACTTCACGCTCTCTTTCCTTCCCCCAGGGACGTCTTCCTGTTTCTAGTATGGTGATTGCTGCTGTGGTGAGGTGGGCTGATCACACACAGAAGCCCCCCACCCCACCAGTCCCTCTGCCTACCTTGTCTATGGGCTTGGTCCTGTGTTACGGTTTCTTAAGAAATACCGCCCCTCACCACTCTGGGAATGTTTTAGGAATCTCAACCAAATATGAATCTCTTTGATTGGCACAGTGATTAGGGCATCTGCTGGCAAGGTCAGGGCAAGGTCAGGGAGGCCATATACCCTGCGAAGCCCAGGACAGTCTGGCTCAGTGAACAAGTGTGGTAGGTTGCACACGACTCTCCAGTGCCCTGCCTGACATTCGAGAGCGTGAAAAACCTGTTTATAATGCTCTGAGACTAAAACCTAATCCCGTCTCACATGTAAACACAAAAGTACTTTCTGCTCGATTTTGATAAACACTGAATTTCCCAGAGGTGCAGCTGTTGTATAAATCAGAGAAGACTGTACCTTGTTTTGTCTGGAACTTGGCCAAGGGTTGTTCAAAGGCTTGGAAATCATGTCACCAGTGGCAACGGTCACATTTGGTGCCCAGTTGGACTTTCCTTTATCAGTCTGCATTTACAACTGTTACATTCATATTTATTTAATCCTTATTTTACACTGCCAAGAATAAGGAAAAAGTGTTGACGATATATACTTTTTCAAGCAAATGCAACAGAGCTTACACCAAGTGCTAAGGAGAGGTGGGCGGGTGGTGAGAAAATGAGTAATTTGAGGACGGGAGCTCTTTTAGGTAGAGAGGTCAAGGAATCCTTTCTGTGGAGGTGATGTGAGGTGAAAGCTGAAGAGTGACAAAGAGCCAGCCATGCAAAGGCCCTGAGGTTGCCATAGCTGGGCACATGCTATGTACTGTCAGAACACCCATGTGACTGGAGTGCAAGTGAGCCAGGGGAGAGCAGCAGGGACCGAGGCTTAAGAAGTAAAAAGGGCCTTGAAACCACGGTAAGGATTTTATTCTCAGGGAGTCACTGATGGGTGTGAAGCAGCGGGTGACGTGGCTGAAATTATCTTTAAAAAGATGAGGCTGCAGGCCAGGGCCACGGAAAGTACAAGATAAGCCTGGAATCTTTTTCAGTGTCAGAAAGCAAAGTAGTACTCAGAAAGTGATGGGAGCATTTCAAAATGAGATAGGAGCCAACTTGAAAGAGCTGCCAATGGCCAAATCTGGGACAATTTGTGCAATAAAATAATGAGTGATAATAGTGAATTATAACTCATAGAATAAAATAAATATCCATGAGTTTATACTGACACAAATAAATAAATAAATAATAAGGAACAGCTTATTTTTACAGGAGAATACTTAATATAGAAGAAATGATGGACATGGAAAACCATCATTTGACAAACACAACAGTAATAATAATGCAGGCAGGAATCCTCATTCAGTACTAAGTTTAGTGGGCAAAGTATGATGAGAAAGAGGGTATTTGCATAGTCTCATAGTATCTCCCACAAAATACTTGTTAATTACAAAGGGAAAAATCAGGGGGTGTCAAACCTGGAGACACCCCCTTAACCAAGTGGTCACTAGTAATGGGAAAATGGACACCATGTGCCTTCTGATAAGATGGCTGAGAAGGACACATCACTTCTGTGGTGTTCTCGCCAAAAATGCCTAGCTTGAAATTAATCGTGAGTAAACATCCGACAAATCCAAACAGAGAGACAGTCTACAGAATAACTGGCCCAGATTCTTCAAAAGTGTCAAGGTTATCAAAGATAAAGAAAGACTGAGGGACTGGACAGCTGAATGCAATATGGGTGCCTGGATTGGATTCTGGAGCAGAAAAAGGCCATTAGTTGGACAATTGGTGAAATTTAAATAAGGTTTCTAGATTAGTTAATAGGATGGTATAAATTTCTTGGTGTGGATGATTATTCTATGGTTCTGTAAGTTGGGGAAACTGGGTGAAAGGTACATGGGAACTCTTTGTATGATGTTTGCAATTTTTCTATGAGTATGACATTATTACAAAATAAAAAGTTAGACACATAATAAATAAATACATTTTTAAAATCGCAACACACATCCACACACAGTATCGGGCTGGCTGCTGCGTGAAGAAGCGGTGGAACAGGCGAGGATGGAGGAAGAACAGGTAGGGGCTGCTGCCGGTGAATGAAAGGTGATGGGGACCTGGAGGAGAGAGTGGCGGTGCTGATGGGGAGAGCGGAGGGTAAGAGTGTATACATGCACATCTTTAAATTGAGATACTATTCACATACTGTAAAATTCACCACTTCAAAGCATGCAAGTCAGTGGTTTTTAGTAATTCTCAAGGTTGAGCAACCATCACTCCTATCTAATTCCAGGACATTTTCATCACCCCAAGAGAAACTGCATACCCTTAGTAGTCACTCCAATTCTTCCCTCCCTCTATCCCCTAGCAACCACTAAGCTACTTCTTTTCTATGTGAATATCCAGTTGTCCCAGCACCGTTTACTGAAAAGACTGTCCTTTCCCCATTCAATAGGTCTGGCATCTTTGTTGTATAATCCATAGATGTATGGGTTTATTTCTGGACTCTCAATTCTATACCATTGATATATATATAAATATATGTATCCTTATGCCAGTTACCACACAGTCTTGATTACTGTAGCTTGTAGGTTTTGGAATTGAGAAATGTGAGTCCTCCAACTCAAATTTATGTTTTAAAGGCAAAGCCAACAAGACTTGCTTATGGATTTCATGGGGAGTGTGGAAATATCACAACCTTTGGGACTTTTGGGAAACTTAGCCCTTTCCAAACTAGATTGGCCACCGAAGACCCTCCCTTCTTCCTGGTGACTCTTTGGGGGTCGCAGGAGATAAGCTGCTTCCTCCAAGTGGATGCTCCTGGGTAGGGTCACCTTTGCAGGCAGTCAATGTGGAGAAATCACACACCTTGTTCCCCTGTTGTTTGGAGAGCTTAAAGGGAGAGAATAAGTGCTCTGCAAATATTTACCGTTGCCCTGCTGTTGCTAGAAACCTATCACAGAGCAGCGTGCATGGCCCTCTGTGTTGTGGGTTTGTGTAGAGCTGTTCTGTGCAATACAGCGGGCACTAGCCGGCGGTGGCTAGCACAACTGAGGAACTGAATTTCAGCCAATTTAAATTTATATTTAAAAACTGAAACTTGACTCAGTTATTAGAAAATGTCTGAGTATGTTTAGAATAGTTAGAGCATATGACTTGCTTTTTCAACTGAGTTTTATAAAACATAAAAACAGATCAAGTATTTCTGATGAAAATTTAGCATGAGATTTTCAAATTGAGATGTGCTGTAAGTGTAAAGTGCTCCCCTAGATTTAAAAGATTTAGCATGAAAAAGGAATGCAGAATAGCTCATGAATAATTTTATATTGATTACATGTTGAATTGATAACATTTTGGATGCAGTGAATCAAGTAAAGTGCTTTATTAACATCACCAGTTCTTTTACCTTTTTTTTAAATGAAGCTGCCAGAAAATTTAAAATTATATTCTGGCTTATATTATTTCTTGTAGACAGAGCTGCTCTAGATGTTTTAATGATGAGCCCCCAATGCCATTTCAACCACAAAGATAATCACACAGCAGAGGAAGTGTAGTGACCTCCGCTGTTGAGATTAAATGTTCCAATTAAGTGGAGGCTGTAAAGGAGATCATGGGAAAAACAGAAGCAAAGACTGGCTGGACGGTGACGAAGCGTTAGAAGGGACTGTGCCCCTCTCCCTCCTCTGTCCGCCCCTCCTGCCCTCCCGCAGCCTGCTGCCTCGGTACAGCTTCTCTTTCCGCCTGGAAGCAGGCGAAGCTCTGCAGTTGGTCCCATCAGAACGTCTGCTCTGGTCTTTCCCTTGTCCCCTCCCCGTTGCTCCTTCTGGGGGGCTCACGTCCTTCTTACTCTGCATATCACCAATCTTCTCTGGAGAAACAAAGGAAAGAAACCGAACCCTACAGCAGGAGTTGGCAAACTCTGGAAAGGGTGTAGGCTTTGTGGCCATGGTCTCTGACACGACCGTTCACTTCTGCTGCTGTGGTGCGAAAACAGTCACGCTGTGTGCACAAATGGCCAGGGCTGTGTTCCCGGAAAACTTTATTGCTGGACACTGAAATGAGAAAATCATATAATTTTCCCACGTCATGAAATATTATTCTTCTTTTGAGTTTTTCCCAACTCTTTCAAAATGTAAAAGCCATTCTGGGCTCGTGGGTCATGCAAAAACGGCCTGCAGGATTTGGCCCTTGGGTCCTGGTTTGCGGCCCTGCTCTAAAGTGTAAGTGAAGACCCAAATGGAAGGAGCTATCCTTTTGGGAATATTGGGGCAGAAGGATCTTTTCCTTCCTTCACCGTATAGCTCCAATGATAAGCCAACTGTAACCACTCGGTGCTCAGCCTGAGTGATCGAAACTTCAGGAGCCCTGTTGAGGTAGGAATATTAAACATGGAAGATCATTGGAAGCCCTGGACAGTGGGAGGGGCGTCTGTGCAGTAATCACTCTCAGGCCCGGGTCCTGTACTTTAAAGGGCTTGCTTTAGCCCTGATCTCCCGTGGCCTTCCCCAGGGGATGAAGAATCAAAGGGACATGCCCACCTGGTGACCACCCCTTTTCCTCCATGCTTCAGGTACTTGAGACTCCATAATTACCTGCCCCATTGACCTCAAGTCCACTTTTATGCTGGTGTGGCCTCTTTCCTGGGCCCATTCTCCAGTGCACAGACCACACTGCCAGTGTGCTCACGCTGGGCCCAAGGGACGGCCAAGGTGCATCTGTCTGCACAGGTGCGATGGAGCTTGGAAGCAGGGGTGGGGCTTGTGTGTGCTGGGGGTGAGAGGGAAGGAGCTTGGGCCTCACGTAGAGGGCTGGGGACGGTTCTTCTCTCTGGCCATGTTAGGCATAGAATTCTAGATTTAAACCTACCTTTCCAGGAAGTTATGAAAGTACATTTGTCATGGCAGCAGGCTAAGGCATATTTTAATTTACAGTTTGTTAGTTTGATGTGTAACTCTAATATTTAGACATACAAGCCTCCATTTGTGCCCTCACCGGAAACCCTGCCAGTGTTAGGGTAGGCCTGCTTCTACAGTTAAGATTTGACTTTGAAATGCAGGTGAAGGGTGGTGGGAGTCAATGGTGTGAACAAGCCAGCTTGGTCTGGCCTGTGAGAGCCCATCGCATGTATCTCTTCCCAACTCTGTGTTTGGTGACGCCATGTTGGTAGCTCAAATTGGCCAAGGTAGGACTATTTTCACCGTGGAAATGGCAAATGCTACAAATCAGAGCTTTGTCGTTTGTTTTGAAAGCTGGCTGCTACACGTTTACCAGCACACCACACACTGCATAACTGTCCCCTGCTTGTGACAGAGGCTGGCTTGTCTCCCCCTTGTCCCGCATAGAGTCTCTCCTCATTTCCTGTCTGAGAAGAGCAGACTGGAGAGAGTTTCTCAAGAGATGTGTTCAGTAGAAAAGTGTGACTGTGAGGGAGCATTCTGAATCGTTCACTCATTTGGAAGGAATTTCTGAAATAAGCCAAGTTCCTGTTGTCTGGAGCCACACGCCTGAGCAGTGCCAAGCCCCGACTCTTAGAGCAGCATCTCCCATGAGGCCCCACTCAAACCGCTGCTACTGATTTTGATCAGCTTTAGCAAGAAGTGAACATTCCCACCCTCATGCTTTATGTTTGCAGAATACTTCCAAATTCAGATAAACATGTAAAATGACTTTCACGGTTAATCCTTGGATTCTTTTCCCTGAAAGTACAAGTAGTAGCAAAAGGTATGGTTTCTCCTCTTATTGTCCATGTCTGCTCTCTGGTGGTCAATCCAGATAAATACAAGCCGATTTCTATCAATGCCGGATTCTCGGATTCTCGCAGAAGGGTGCACAAACCCAGTCACCTGCTGGGCCAGGCAGGAAATGTAGAATGAAGATGGCAGGATGTGAGAAGAGTGGGGAGTTGTGGGGTGTACTTAGGCCCTGTCTAAAAGGGAATGGCATTATTCACTCAGGGTCGAATGGCCTGGCACCCTGCGGGTAGATCTCTTTCGTTTGGCCTTTGCAGTGTGGGTCTATAGCGTCTCAAAATAGTTCCATCCATTAAAAATTTTTATTTCCACCCTTTTGGTAAATATCTGAATATTTGGCAACCCTAAGTTCACGCTGCCACACAGTAACAGTCTGCTGATGTGGTGACTGTTGGAGAATTTTTTTTTTTTAAGGTTTTATTTTTCCTTTTTCTCCCCAAAGCCCCCTGGTACCTGGTTGTATATTTTTACTTGTGGGTCCTTCTGGTTGTGGCATGTGGGATGCTGCCTCAGCATGGCGTGATCAGCAGTGCCATGTCTGTGCCCAGGATCCGACCCGGCGAAACCCTGGGCTGCCAAAGCGGAGCGTGTGAACTTAACCACTTGGCCACGGGGCCAGCCCCTGTTGGAGAATTTTTGAAAATGGCAAATGATGTTTAAGAGCAAGTTACTGTGATTTTCCCAGTCAAAGCAAGAATGATCTCTATGACATGCCCAACAGACATGGCCATATGTTTCATGGTTTAGAAATTCCAGAAATAGGAAATCCATTATTCTTTATTTACTTTTAATTTTTTATTGTGTAGTATTTCATACAAACAGAATCACACATGACTCATTAGAAGGTTTATGGAATAATAAACAGCCTTCTCTCCACCATCGTCTTAAGAAATAGAAGATCACCAATGCTTTTAAAAGCTGTCTGTGTCGTATCCCACTTGAGTCCTCTCTCTCCCCGCTGAGGGTAAATACCATTCTGACTGTTTTCTTTCTCATTCCTTTGCTAAACTCTTAGTTATTCTGAGAATTATTCTAATAATTTGTTTATTGTCACTTTGGGTCTTTTCAGATAAACAATCATTTCATTTGAGAAAATTAACTCATTTTTTCCTTTCCAATCCTCGTATCTCATTTCTTTTTCTTGACTTGTCGTACTGATTAGTTTCTTTGATTCAATGCTGCTGAGAAGTGGTAATAGTAGGGGCGTCCTGATTTTATTCTTGATTTTAAAAACGCTTCTGTTTCATAATTAACAATAATGTTTGCTGTAGATTATGATAGGCACACACTTCACCAGGTTAAATAAATTCCCTTCTATTCCTAGTTTTC